GTAACCAATTATTACCGACTCCTTGCTTATCGTTAATATTAACTTAGAAATTTGCCGCACGACGCTTAATGATAACAAATTATAGTAGCATCAAAGGATAGTTATATAATATCGAGATTAATGGGAGAATGGGAAGGAAAAAGATGGATTGATGTGCTATGATAGGTCAAAAGATGAGTAATTAAATCACGTGAAAACGATCTTTTTGTATACTATCTGAAGTTCAAATCATTCGTTATGTAAAATATTTTCATTCCCGACTTCTGTATGTCTCATACAATGCATCATTGTTCAAACATCTATCTGTATCATACTGTGATATTGCATGCTCAAAAGAGCTCCAAATTGAGACATATATCATTTACTCTTTCCACTCTTACCTCCATTTTCTGGATAAAAAAACGCTAATGATTTTTCCCTTATTTCCCTTTAATTTCTGTTTACCATTTCAGAGTTATTAATATATAAATCCTTGAATCTAACAATTGTCTTATTCGAATACTTTGTATTCGACTACTTTAAACGGTATTTTCGTCTTTGCAAGAAAAAGCATAGCATGGAAGCTATAGTCAATGATATTAAACAAGTATTACGATATTTTATTACCGCAACCTATGTCACCAGAAGTTAGAATCATAATCTAATGAACATTATTTGGAATGATCATGTTCAGTTTTTTACTACCGTATCACAATGTTATTTATAGGTATGGACGCAACATTTTGTAAATGATATGAAATGAGTCGGAATATATTCAAGAGAGGTTACACAATCGTTACTGCCGCACAACTGGTATCCAACTTTCTTTTTTTTTCTAAAGATTTACGAGATTTTCTTAAAAATTTGCCGTGGCTCAGAAATGATACTATCATAAGATAGAAAGATGGGAAACATTATTATACAGCACCGTTATGTATTCTTTCCACGGACACCCCTTTGTTACGGGGAAGAAGCTTGAGATCTTATGAAGTTACGAGCTATGATGGTGGTCAGACAGGTCTCAACGAAAGGATCAGACAAAGTGTGATCATGGACAAGAGAGTCCGCTAGCCCTCCGGCAACCATCATAGAAGAACAACTCTAATTCCGAACCTCGTTTACTCCTGTAAGGCCAAGGATACTCTAATTAAACCTACATTTTGAGGACTTCACCATCCTAGCTCGCTAGGCCCTAACAAATGAATTTTATGAATAAAGGGTGGATCTAATTTTGCGCACACTGTGCCACACCTAGAAAATCCATTGTACAAACTCGAAGGATACAGCCATATTTGTAATGTTTGCAGCAAGCTTGGGTAGAGTCCTTCTCAAATCTTCGTTCACGAAACCTAACCATGATGTATTCGCAAACTAAATTTGGAGAGAAGAAATTATGCTTGATCTGCTTAGTGATAGTGAACGTTGTACCTCCCTGAAAATATCAATACTCCTTGAAACGTTACACTTCCCCGATAGTTTTCAGTCATCGTACTTTCCGGGCATATCGCTGGTGTATGATTAATCCCAATGATTTGAACGAAAATATCCTAGCAAAACTAAGACTGTAAGGAAATGCTCCATCTATATAAAATCAGATTAGTTTAGAGTTTTTCATTCATCGCTCTCTTCGTTAGCTCATTTATCTGGAACAACAGTGACGTGTACATCCAACTCGGTTACAACGGCTATGGATGGCAGACGCTAGTTGTTGCATGCTTGTGTCTCATTTGGACGGTTAATCTAATTAGTTCACTTGCGCAATTAAGTGGCACAAATGTATTCCAAGAATACGGTAAATTCAAGGTATAAATCGACTTCTCACCTCTCTTCTTCTGCATTAATTTTAATTCTTAAATTTATCGACGAAATAGCAATGAATGAAAATTAGTCAATTCATTAATTGTTATTTCTTTAACAATATTTCCATATTAAGTTATTCGTTCGATGACGATTTCAGTTACTGATCATTTATGGATTTTGCGCATTAATGGCTATTGTTGCTGCTGCTTTAGAAACTTGGAACAGCAAACTAGCAGCAAATGCCGAAAACAGTGTTCTCCATCCACGCTTTGTTATCACTGCTGTAAATTATCTTTCTAATTATGAATCTATCCTTAATTGACATTTAGATTTACCTCAAAGCTGAATTTTTGGGAGTTTCAGGATGCTAATTACGTTAAAAAATTTTACCTATCTTTTGATATTTTCCAATAATTATTTATGAGGAACTTCATGAAGATTTAAAGTATTGTTATAGAATATCCTTTCTTGATAAAAAAAACTTTCAATTCCTATTTAATTTTAAACTTTTTCAACAATTTTCTCTACCTACACACAAATAAATGAACAATATAAGCAAAGCAGAAACAGCTTCATTAACAACTACCTCTAGGAAATACCTGATTTCTTCAATATTTTCTTTTAAATTTAGAAACTTAATAAAAACTAAAGTCAGGTTAATTGCAGGTGTTTTGTTGGTTGCTTGTTGTATCGCATGCTACCATGATTTTAACCATTTTGTTTACATAAAAGCATGAAATGGACCGAAAATATCACCAATTTCTTCTACGTAATACTCTATTTGCTCACTTTAATGTATCAGCTCAGTAAAATGGCGATTTACAACTTGATAAATCAAATTTATGCAAATAATCTTAGATATCTTCTAATAATAGTGGGTGGTGTTGACATTCAAACTGATGAATGTAAAAGTGAGGACAATAATCATGCATAAAAATGGAGTTCATACAAATTAAGTAAATTCGTTTGGACTATCTATTGAATGGAGGTCGATCCAACATATGATTAAGGAAGATCCTAAAAAATTCTTTTCTTTTGATTGAATAAAGCATAAGCATATCAGTATGAAAGTGTTTTTAAATTTAAATGTACCAAATAAAATGAATGAAATTGATGGCAATAAATTTGTGAGTTTTATTGCTTCTAAGCAAGAGTTGAATCGCCTGTTTCACTGTGTATATTCAAAAGAAGTCCATTTTAGGCTTTCACTAAAATTTCAAATCTTTCTTCTTCTTCGATCGCAGTTCATCTTGCATTATATTATAATGAAACGAACCTTAAGTGACAGAGTAGAAGAAATGTATTCCGCCAAAGATGCATTGCTACATTCATTTTCCGCTCTCTCAGTTTCAATTAACAAAAAACAACTTTAATAAAGTAGACAGAACTATATAAACTTAAACTAAAATTAATAATTAATGAATCCTAAATGAACAATTAACACTTTCAGTTTTAATATTTGCTTGAACTTATTTCCAATTCGATTTGCAGCAAATATGAAATGTCCGTGTAATGTTATAGTCTTAAACAACTTAACAGTCATTTGAATAAAAAGCTTAAATTACGTCTCATAAATTCACCATCATGATCTTTTTAACCATTTTTCTATGCCGAAAGCCAGTTGTTTATTTCTACGAAATTATTCTCAAGGAATCGTCCTGAAATATATTTTTGAATGCTGCTCATAATACATCATATAAGCTCTCCAAATTCTAGTTATTTATTTATATTATATACAACAGAATTTGCTTTCCATAACATTGCATTTTTCCGCTATGTATTATATTGCTTCGCCTATCGATTAATGATTCCGGTAATAAAGTTTAAATGCAAATTTCTTTTGTCATCTTAGTGTGGCAGTTTACCTGGAATGTGCAGAATAGCAAAACTTCATGCAACATATCAGCGCAAGATAGAAAACTTCTCTTAATGCCCTACTAATTTGAAATATGCACAAAATAAAATGACACATTTGAAGCACGAATCATTCAATTAAATCCCACAAACATCATACAATTATACAATCAGAGAAAATGTTTACATCTTAAGCAACATGACATATCAGCATTTCAGAGTTGCTCCGTGTAGTAGCAGGAAACGGCATGTAACCGGAAGCTTTTTCTGCTTCTGTTATCCACTTGTGACTAGTCTGATGGTCAGTGAACAAAATGTTTATACTAACAAGCAGAGACAAATACTTACACTGTTGAAATATTCGCCAGTAATGCCTTAGAGTTGTATAATGACACCGTCAAGTCATAAGATCTATTATTTCTTAGGAAAATTGTAAAAATATCAATTTCAAAAAACTTTACTCCTCCGATTATTGATCGTTCCACTGTGGATTTAAATTATTTTCTCCGCTGAATCCAAAACATTGCTCATTTGCCTTCTCCGCATTGCCTCTCCTTCCTTCCGCTTCAATGTCCTTCCTTTCTTCTCGACTTAGCTCATATTTGACCCAAACATCATTTTTAATAGAAAAATCAGGATTCGTTGACCAACTTTATTCATATTTGTTTTTTGACTTATACTAAAAAGGCTAAATGCATTTCACTTCATCTATCTTTCCGTTTTTCTCATTTTCTTATTTCTTTCTCGATGTAAATAATATTCAAGTGCAATCATCCATGAATTCCAACTTACCTGCTATTATTCTTTCGTACATTTCCTTAGCAGAGTGAATTACAGTTTCAATACAATCAATGTTAACACATTATAAAATTTAATCAATATTTAACCGATTGAAATTTGGTCGGTCGAAATTTTTAAGCGATCGAAAAAATTTTTAATAGATCGAAAAAATTTGGTCGATCGAAGTTTAATCGATATTTTTCAAGTGAATTATGTATCACATGAAAATGAACTATCGAAAACTATTTGTTGTTTTGAATTTGCTTGAATTAATAGTTGGACCTTCCTGTTAATTTGAAAATTATTCAATTCCGATAGTTTTCTTTTTTTTCAATAGTTACGGTAGTCATACTGGAAATAAACTAATTATGTGATAAGTTGATAACTCATAACTATCGTCAAGTATTGTCAGATATTTGAGCCACAAATTTAGATAGATATCGTTGCTGTTAGCATAAACTTCCCCATTCTCAGTGCCCGAATGATCTCCTATAAAATACCTTCGGATCTCAAATTTATTTTATTTAATTTTTATATCTTGCACCGTCAGTACTTTTAATTTGTGTGGCTAACTGTACATTTAATATTGGCAACCTCAGTCACCCATATTCTTCCAAAGCGATAAAATCTAATCTGTTCCCAAAAAGTTTGAACTTTCAGACTTCCAACTTTTCTGTCTGTTATTAATGTTTCATTTCGCTTTGATGAGGTATATGTCACCTAAGCATTTGGAAAGGATTCACTCTTCGAATGAATAAGTTGAGAGAAACATCGATCTATGCTTTCAAGATTTACAACTTTCACTTATCACCAAAATTTCGGATTTTTAGCAAGAGCGGATATTTTGCATGAGTGAATTAATCATTTTACATTATCTCTATGAAAGAATATTAGAAAGATGACGTGGTAACATGCAATATGAGCAATATTCACAGCACTGATTTTGCTACGGCTAAAATGTTGAAATTGAACCAGGTTTCATGATATCCCTTGAATAAATAATATCCAAATATATTAGCAAAAAGAATAAACAGTGACCAACATTGAGAAGCAACTTACATAATAGCAAATCGTAAAGAAGACTAAAAACTTTTGAATGATATAATAAGATTGCATTGTTAGTTAAACAGAATTGACCATCTGTAAAATTCAACTTATCCAACTCATTTATAATTTTCCCACTACTCAACTTTATCCATTTGCTTTCTCCTTCAGTGCTCTTCTTGTCTTGGTTCAGCTAAACTAGGCCACATATCCACACTTGCTTTCATCCCCAATTATTTTCTTCAAATTTTTTCATTAAGGGAGTTTTGGCCAACTAATCTCTTTAGAAAAAATGTTAGCCAGTACTTCGTAGCAAATTTTGCTAAAAGTTTCAGTGATTTTTTCAATACTGACGTCTTTGTCTCCACTCTAAGCTATAATTATGTATGCCACAGAATATTTCAAGCCTCGATGAATTAATCTGAGAGCCTGAGAAAATGGGCTGATTTAAGCTTTATGAACGAAGTTAGCAGTACATTGAGAAGTCTTGGTTCACTTCATATTTGCACATTGTTATTTTTGCAGTAACAGATGAAAGGTCATTTAAAATATCAGATCAGTGATCGATAATTTCTTTGCTTTTCAACTGATTGTTTATCATCATCATCATCATCACTTGAAGTTACTCGACTTTATTCTAATAATTCAATTCTATTTCCGTTTACAATGCATAACAATCTTAATAATATTAAAGTCTTTCATTGTAATTACAAATTTTATTAAAACCGAGTAATTTTTCTTTGTGAGTTCAAATAGACCTTTAATTAGGGCGACAATAATATGAACAGTGCATTTGAACGAAGAACTGCTAATGTAGGTAGAGTTTATTGGTTCAAAAGGTTTTGAGGAATGACTTTGAAGATCATAAGAGCAGTAACTGATCATCGGATGTTAACAACGACTATCTGAAAGACTTATTTAATGAAGCTGATATTCTCAGTGCTACACGAGAAATTATTGATCAATTTAGTGAGATAATTTTATAATCGTCCGACATCTAAACAAATTTAAATAGTTAAAAATTTCAGTTATGGTACGCTCTTGACCCGATTCACAATAAAAAAAAAAAAAAAAGTGGTTCTTTGTAGTGTTGTATTCTCTGCAATCACATTGATCGGACTGGAATGAAACTTGGATTATGTACGATAATCTCAGTGATTGCATTGAAAAGAAACTCATAATGATTTTTTGAAATCATATTTGCACAAAAAGAAATGACCATTTGGTCACTAAACGGTGATCTGTTGCCATAACGGTTTTCTGAATCCTGAAGAAGCAACTAGATATAACCTGCAATATTTCCAGCTCACAAAATCCAGCTGAAATGTATGTTTTATTCTATAGGATAGCGTCCGATCACATATCAACAATAGTATTTCAATAGGCAGTAAAATTTTGCTTCGCCCGCCATATTCATTGTATCCTTCATTAATCAACAACCACTTCTTCAAACATTTCAATCACTTTTGTTTAGGAAAATGTTTGCATCAATTAGTTGAATACAGGAAATGCTTTCTAAAAGTTCGTAAAATATCATGGACAAAATTATTATTCGTTGATATGAAGCATGCTGATTAATATAATCATGATTTTGATTGATAGGTATTGTGATTATGCCCGTTTTTAATCATTTCAATTTCAAAAAATGGCCCAAAAATGTAATTATTTCTTTCTGTTTTACATTTCATTTTTTACTTTTTGCGAGTATATTGTGTTGGCATATTTTCTGTTTAAGGAGCACACCAAAAATGAATTTAATTTCATGTCGTTCGAAGTCAGTCTAACTTGCATCAAATTAAGTTTATTTCCACTAAGAAAATGTGTTACAACTGGTTCAAACAATGCCTTACACTGCACTGAGATTCTTTTTATGACTACGACATCATTCAACTTATCCGTCCTTTCCCATCCAAAACCTTCTCTTTATCACTGAATCATTGATGGATGCCAAATTTCCAACGTGATAGTGTCATTTGTACCTGAATTTTAGACTACACTTTTTATATGCATCAAAAGGACTAATAAACTTAGTTGTTGAATAGATTAAAGTAATTACTCTATTCCCTTTGACAGCGATTGTTCAGTCGTATCTTGTGTATACCTACATATTTAAGGAAAGATCTCTTGTATTAAATGTCCGAGGTTTTGATGAATGACATCACAGCATAATCAAAGTACTCCACAAAACGTCATTCTCTTCTTTGTTCGGAGAGCAAGAAAACGAAGTGATTTACTTGCTCATTATGAATTTTATCACACAGAACTTCATTTCATTAATCTACGCTTTCCTGTCATAAGTTAACATAATTCTGCTAGCTTTAAACGAAAATTCATTATCTTCAAGATTTAATGTTTATTCAAATTTTCTAGTGATTAAATTTTAAGTGGAAATTTGCCTAATGTTTATCATGACTATGCTTGAAAATTCAGAAAGTAAACAAAATATTCGGAATTTGACCGCGAATAGATAGCAGTTCCCGAGAGTGCAATTTGCTTTTGTTGTTCATGAAAATGTCGGGAGAAAAGTAAAAGGATTGAGGAGGGAGAGCCTTTTTTTTTTTTTTTGGTAAGACACTGGAAGCAGTGATGGATCTTAGGCATCCTTAGCTTCCGTCCTATCCAAGGCCTGTCTTGTCAAGCTTTTATTTTCAGAATATGAACAACTGCGTATGATCCTTCTTATCAAATTTCATTGGATATTTTCTGTCGATGTCAGTAAGAGAATTTGAACGCTTTAAGAAGAGTTGTTGAGAATGACAGCAATTTCACTCTTCTGGACACATTTACTACTCATTTTTCTTCTTTAAATCGTAATAAACCAAGTGGTTTTCCATTAAAGTGTTATTTACGACCTTGTCAATTACTCCCCCCAACTTATATGTCAACAAAAAAGTATGATAGGTGAAAATCTCTGCAAACATATATATGATCAATGAGTAGCATCAATTTCATATATTCTTCATTTTTTCGAACATTTTCGAAAATCCATTGGGAGTTGAATGTTATTCACTACCAATGGATTTAAAGAAAAGTTTTATTGGACTGAAGTCGGACTGCCTAAAATTCGAATTTTGATTCCCATTTCTTCTTTTGATTGGATTTGCCTTTTAAACACTCGCTCATGAAATATGCATTCTTTTTTCTTTTATTTTAGCCCTCAGTTGTTGGATACTTGAAAGGAAGTAAGTAAATACCGAAGTAGTACTTTGTAAAAAATCAGTACCAAAATTTCAAATAAAATATTACATTGCAAAACTGAGCAACATAAATATCAACATTTGGGAAAAGTTTTATTCTTTTATCTATAAAAGTGACTGAATTTCTTTTCAACATATAAAGGTTACATGAAATGCTATTTAGTATCCAATAATGCATTATGATTTCAAATATCCATCCTTCTTTTTTTCCGTTTGTAATTTTTTCATTCCAAAAGCAATTCCGATTTTATTGATTTTACTGATCAAAACAACATTGTGTACACTTAATTATTTGTTCCAACTTAATACTAAATTTCCTGATAAAACAGCGAGAATTTTTCCACTTCTCAGCATATATCGCATGAAATTGGCCTTTTTTCCTTGCCTAAAATAAATTTTGGGAAGTTATGCATGCGTACTACTCATAAATAACAATATACCAAAATTTATTCTGTAAATTTTTTTACATTAAAATTTTTGGATAACATTAATCCCAATACTTTTTATATCTAATAAAACTCAACAGTTTTTTTCTTTTTTTTAAAATTTTTACGAGGTATAGTTAATTTGGTTTTATCAGAAATGTTGGAAAAAAAATGATGTTCTGGGAAACGTCAAAATGCGCATCTGCCAGCTTATTTCTGAAGGAGTGGAATCAACAGAAAAGCTACCTAGTTCCAGGTAATGCGAAATACAGTGGTTATCAGCGATGATTATGCATACGGCAAGCCACCTGTCGCTACTTCACTCGTTCGTACCTGTAAGCTCTTTATCAAATTTTTCAACATCTGACAAGATAACGAAATTGTTTGGAAAAAATTAATGAATTTAAAGAAATGATCCAAATCTGTTTACTTCAAGAACCTCAGCACTTATTCTTCTCCATTTCACTTTTGATATAACTCTAATTCACTCGATACTTTCAATTCTTATTCCTAAATTAGAAAATGCAAAATGCAAATGTGCAGTGTGAAAACATACTTGCAGTATTATGTGGTGCTCCTCTGTTTTCGGATCCGAAATGCCGTCCTTTTGGTAACCTGAAGTCTACGCAATTCTGCAACTACATGCCATTATCAGCGCGTTTCAAGAGTGATAAAATTGGAACATCAGTCCAAGAATCTTCTGGAACAGCAAGCAGTAGTCAAAAGAATCAGCCGTCTGTTTTGGTGAAGATGCATGAGGTAGACATCTGTTTGATAAAATGATCTGTAATCCTTACATGATACACCTCGCCAAACTATAATTCATTATCTGTGACGAAGACCGAAGATAACGCAACATGAGATTATGATCATATCGGTATGCAATCTTTCTATCCATAGACCTTTTCCTTACGGAGAACTTTTTCCAGCTAATACGCAGACAGATGATATGTGTCAAGTAAATACAAAAAAAAAAGGAAAAAAACCCATAAATAACAAAAATATCTGGGAATTTTCGACAATTAGTGCTGCATCTAACTGCATCTTCCATCAGATACTGTACCGAAATACTACATGATATGCAAGCTTAGTCTTATTGCAGGATAATTGCAGTGGTTACAGCAGCTCAACAAAGCATTACCTTTCGAGCAGCAAACAAAAACGGAATGAATTTACGGTTGAGGTGGATCATCGACTAGCAACGGATGACACTTTTCTAAGAGTGAAGAATGATTTTTTAAAATTTGCCAACTCTTTTATGCTACCTTGGAAGGGATGCTTGAAGGGAAGCTGTTGAATGTCAGAGTGACGATTCAATTTCTCAAAAATCCGACGCACTTCGTGAAATATTTGTTCTTCACACACTCTCTCATTTTTTGAAACAATTTTCGAAAGACTGAGCAAAGTTTTTGTTAAATAATAGTAATTCAATAATAATGATAATAATACTAATAATCAAGATATATAATGACAATAATAATTTAACAATAGCAATAAATTAACATTTTCAGAAAAATGACTTCTATGAATTAGATCACGTGCAACAATATTACGAAAAGCTCATGTGTCAATTAACTATGAGTAATTCAACTTTGATGCGTGAAAATCAAAGGTACCAAATTCGATTCGAGGTAAAAATGTCTATTTATCCTATACTGACTTTTTCTTTCAATTCTTCTGAATTGATCTGTCTTACAGTTCTTTTTTTGGGGATGGGTTAACATTAGATTGAAATGGAAAATGGAATGATTGGTAGCCTAAATTAATTTAAACAGTTCCTTAGATCTTTTAAAAGGGATTTGTATTCATTATATATCTGAAAATGACAACTGAAAAGTTCCGGAAAATTTATTAATATATTTAACTTATCTGAAAAAATGAGGAAATGCAGTTAAAACCAATTTGAAGCAACTAAGGATGCTTCTGGAAGATCATATTGACCAATTGAACAACATATATTTCACTTTATTTTTGAATGGATTCAATGCTATTCAATTTCCTGATGGTAAGTTTTATCAGGACAGAATGATATTTTGCAGTATCCGAACATCTCATACTAATTAATTATATAGTAATAAAGGACATGGATCTAGACTTGAAGCAGACATAGACTAGACTTAAGACAAGAACTGACATTCATTTCATCATATTTTATATGCAAATAAAAGTAAAATAACACTTTTTCGACTATGCGCTGATAGTTTATAAAACGTTTATAGGAAGAAATTTATTTTCAAACCCTTTTTGTGAATAATTGGATTTAGGTCAAATGGTAAATTTAGCGGGATTTCAAGGCACAAAATTGAAATTAATTCCACGTACAAACATGTTACCAGCTGACGTTTCGTCAACGACGACTGATGAAGACTTCTTTGCTTCTCCTCCTCATAACAGTAAAAGTTTGAATGTTGAAAACAAAGATCTAGAATTTTTGATGAAGTATCTTTTTCTTTTGAATGTTAATTATATCACATCCAAGCTGGATGCAGAAATCCAATTTAGGTTGAAATTTTAGCTGTGCTTGTAGTAAACTAAAAACAAGCATAGGAAAAGTCAGCATTGTCAGCATATTATTCAATAAACCTCTGTAACTGGTTATTTTCTTCCAGATAACGGTAGTTTCACCGATATTTCTGGTACTAAAGCATTCAACGAGGTATCTTCTGTCCATTTCCTCTTTAAAACTGTATCCGTGAAGAGCCAAAAGTCAAAAATTTGAAAAAAATGAAAATAAGGAATTAATAATTTCAGAACATGGGAATAAAGCAAAATACGGACATCCCGTTAAATGGCAGCGGTCAATCCTCTCAAAATATTTTAACAGACAGAGCTGATGATGATGATGATATTGAGGGTTATCTACAATGGATGAATGGACAAGCCACGATCCGGTGACTGATTTACAAAGAGCTGCTCTTTTTACCTACTAACTTGATGCACTTAACCTCCAACTCTTTTCGCTCTGCACCTGCAGCGATGGTCTACGATAACACTACGGAAAACCTCCCACAAAATCGTGAATTAAAAACTACTCAATCAATCAATCCAATTTTATAACATTAGAGACTGAAGTAGCTACAATAGAAACACTTTGAGCGTTAACAGATGAATGTCCTACTAATAATTTCTCATTATGATATTATAAGCAATCCATTACTTAATATTTGTCTTAATTGATAAGAAAAAATTTTATTCCTTAAAAACACAGACAAGATGGAGAGAGGACAGATATTTTCATTAAGGGGTAAGGTAAAGGAAAAAAGTGATATATTTTTTGATTGTGCCATATAATATAATCCTGGTATCAAAAATGTCTTCGCAGTATCTGAGAATTAAATTAGCAATTACATGGAACATTAAGATCCGACATTTTATAATTAGCAACAGTCTGGGGTGCTAGTGTTCTATGCGACCAAAAAGAAAAGAAGAAATGATGTACGGCTTCGCGTACACTTTTAACTGCGCTTTGTACTTTGTCATTCTCTGGTTTAATTGTGAGTAAAACAAATCGCATATGACGGCGATGTCGATGCCGATTTAGCGTAAGCATATGTTTCCAAATTTAAATTAGTCTGTAAGGTCTGAATGCATACCATCTCAAAACCCACAAGTAGATTCCATACTTGAGACTGAAAATAACTTCTCACTATAAAAACTAAGCTAATACTTTCTGGAGAAAAAATAATGAGTTTTATGGGACAACTGCTTCACAAAAATTGCTTTAAGAGATAACGAAGAATATTAACTCGAGATCACCATAAATATATAGCAGTATTACGCGGATAATCGAATGATCTGAACCTTATTGTTGAGTGATTATTAAAGGATCTAGGAAAGAGATCCTACTGTAGCTAATGCTTTTATTATCGAATCTAAAAAAGAGATCATTCATTCTCGTTATCTTCTTCAATTGGTGGCACACAGGGTTGTCGAGCTTGTCGCTTTGACCCTTAAAATAGATATATATTTTCATTAGTTTCAGAATGATCAAAAAGTGTAAAAAGGGCTTAGTAAAGCAATTTTCCTATGCACATAAGACGGAGATTATTAAATTTGTACTTTGATAAAATAATTGCTAAAAACAGCAAACTAACTTTTTCTCGCTGGCGTACTTTCAATTGCAGACATTTCATCGCCCAGACCAAATGTTAGCTGAAATGTAGCACTGCTATGGAACTTGAATATGATAGATGTTTCTGAAAATTGACTAATACATAGAAAAAAGAAAAACTCATCAATAAAAAAAAAGTGAAAAGAAAACCTCGTCGATGTTGTGCTCTGGCGTTGAAATCGCTCGCACTGGTAACTCGCTTTCTTCATCTTTCTGTTCAAACCTCAGTCTTTGGCTCCGCCTTTTAACCACCACAGTAATCGCAGTCGGGGTAGATTTTTCTTTAACACTTATCGAAGGTTGCTGCTGTAAAAAGAGAATATAGAAGAAAATTATGGTAGCACAGATTTGGAAAACCAAGACACAATTATACTACAACATGCATTTACCAACATTCCATTCTGGATACATCAGAAAGGGCTAAGACAACATGCAAGAAATACGTCCCGAAAGCTAAAAAGACAACTCACGTCTAAGTTCTTTTATATCTAGTTCACATATTTCTCACTTATTTTCATTTACCCATGAACAAAATGGAGACGTACAACACTTTCAGTATTCCCTCCTTCATCATCAATTTTCGTTTGTCCTTTCGTCAGTTTTCGATCACTTTTAACAATGGAATCAACTAGCGGGGCGTCGCCTAAATGTGGCAATAATGAAATGGAAATATTCCTTCCCGATTTTTTTAAATGAATATAACTTAGGCAGGAAATAAGGCATCAAAAAGTCTGATACTTTACAAATGTAAACGAAAAGAATATGCACAAACTGATGAAAATTGGAAAAAAAAAAACAATAATTAAGACTACCTCCGTCATTTTGTTCACTTCTCTGCATTTCTGTCTGTGTAATCGTTCCCACTTTACATCTTTGTTTTAGAATTCCAGATTTGAAACGTGGTGAAGGTGGCACGCCATCAGTAGCAAATGAAACTCTCTTATTTGGCAAAAGAGATGCTTTCAGGATTACGTCACTGTTGCATGGAACTTTCATCCTCCTTTCTTTTTCCTTAAATATGACACAGCTTTATCAATCCAGCTATTTCACTGTAAACTTGATCTTTATCAAATTATACTCTAATAACAAAAACTAATAAAGGATTGAAAATCTTGCAAGTTCAGCTATGCAGTTAACTAACGACGTGGTATGTCCTTATGGACTGAAATAACTGTGGTAGGTACTCTATCTGTCTGTCTTGCTCAGCTCTGTCAATTCTACATCACGACAGGTTTTTCCTATCCATACAGCACATTAATTTTCTTATAGTTTATACTGCCTGAATTACTCAATCAATTATTAAGCCGCCGATCCTTCCAAAGAAAGAAAAACTCAAGAGATTATAAAATGTATACCTCAAGTTTCTCAAGATCGAACTTTATTTCAGCTTTTAATTGCTTATCACTTGCCAAAAATTCATCTAACTGCTCGCGATGATCTTTACACAGTTCCCTAAACGGATTTTACTAAAATAGGAAGTTACATATATCATATCTGCCAGAAAATCACTAAAATTTGTGCAAATCAATTGCCGATAACTACCTCAGAACTCTTATGATTCCGAATTCCAGTTCCGGTAAGCGTTTCTCCTGCAGGTAATATTTCAGCTGTATAACGTGAGGCAAAATGGCATCGACGATACCCTTGCGAAACGCTTGTGTTACAACCTTTTTTGCTGCTTCCTAAAATTTCATTGTAATATTTTCATTTACTTTTGTTGAAATTCCTATCCACAGTGCAGCTTTTTTGCCCCCTAGCAATAGAACAAAAGGTGCAGTGGAAAGAGACGACAGAGAGTTTATAAAGGCACTACCTGAACATTTGATGGTGGTTCATCATCATCATCATCTGCTTCACCTGGTGATCTTCTACCCAAAGCCATAGACAATTTTATTTCCGAGCAACACATTATCTGTTATCAAACACGTATAGCACAATATTACAACGCTCTATAAGGGGAGATGTTCTGCATAAACAGACAAAACTAATATTTTGATAGTTTAAAAAATAAAAAGTGTCCTGGACAATCTATTAGCAAACAAATCATACTTCGTAGCAATCCTCAAGCAAAGCTTTAACACGACAATCGCAAATGTCGAGTTCACCATCTACTATAGCCGAGTACACTTCCTGACCAATACGCATTCCAATCGTGAATTTGTTTTCATCATTAAATGTTTTTATCTAAATACGAATATCGATGGAGAAATCACTTGCTTACCAATGTTTCGGCGGGACTCATATTGCCGATCCATTAGCAATGCTAACAGCGATAATACATCCATACAACATTTGAAATTTATTTAGATCAATTTCAATTCACTAAATCGAGTTCAAAAAGACAAGGATTCCAAATTGAAAACATGCGAACCAACCATAAATCGGTAAAGCCTCATTCGTGCATTCTTCAATCGGAACCCTGATAGAGAACATTTTAAATCTTGCCTTTCCGCCATATCTTCTTCCATAGCTAAAGATGAAAAAGAAACTACTGATATCTGGTTTGAATTTATCACGTAAAACCTTACCATTACTTGTCGCCAACCATAAACTGTGCGTAACTGAATTGAAATAAAAAACACACTCCAAAAAATGATTTACGAACATGTTCGGAAATTGTACAAGCAGGACATCAACCTAAAATAGAAGAACCACAATACAAGCTGTACAAATGGTATAAGATGACCTGGTGAGTCCATTCTTATTTGAGCCACATACCAAACACATCTCTGCGTATTCGCGAACCTCTTTATTTTTATCCAAAATCGTTGACACAAATCTATACATAATCTGAAAGAAATGTTAATATAAAAAAGGAATTTTCAGCTTTCTATTAAACGGAATCGACGATTATATATTACCTGCCCTTCCCAACGCACAAACTGTTCTTTGATGAGATGTGTCAACAACATAAGTGTTTGTTTCCGCACCAGCGTGGATGGGTCTTTCAGGCAAGAAGCTACGATAGCACTATGACGGTCAACTAACAACGTGTACCTGAACAGTAACATAAATGGTTGAAATTCAAAAGAAGCTCTGTGTTTTTGATCAGTAAATAAAGGTTAAAAAATTTCTGGACTTTATGTTTTTTTAAAAAAGAAATGTAGTTTTGAAATTTGGAATTCTAATAATATGTGAAATTAAGAAAAAAAAAACCTCTTGCAAAGATCGCAAATTACACCAACAATATTGCTTCGGACCAAGTGACTGCTGTTCACCAGAAGCTGTCGTGAGAGCACGGGTACGCATTTCTTTGCTAGTTTTTCATCCTGAAGTCTGTCAATATCATAACGTAAGAATAATAATGAGAATCATAAGAAAGAAATATTTTTGGCTGTACCTACCTGAAGACACATTTTACCAATGGCCAAAACTGCTTGTGCTCTTACGGCCGGACTCAACACTTCCATGTTGACAGCATGTTGATCCAGAAATGTAGGACCTAATCCATGAGTGGTTGGCTGCGATGTTCTACAGTCTTGATATGTCGATGTAGGTGCTTTCTGACTAACTTCCATATTATTATTAGGTTGACTAGAAGATTTAGAGCTTGGGAAAAAGCCAGTCGCAGAAACGTAATAATCACGAACATTGCGATCCGCATGTTGTTGAACACCAACTTGCTGCGGTTCTTGTTTCACAAAATCCTTAAACTGATTTGAAATCCTACCATGAAAATTAAATGCAAGAATTGCGAAGTTAACGTGGCTATTCGCTAAGCTTGACTGTACTATGCTTTTTTCAATTCTTTCCCTGTTTTTCCATTCATCCCTTCTCTCGCCAACCTTTCCTTATTTATTAAAACCAGACGCCCATTATGCCAACTGTGAAATCGCTTTCATTTCTGAGCCTGTCCATTCATAAAATAAAGTAAAACAAGAAAAGAAAGCTTACTTGCATATCAGAACAGTGGATAGCGGTTGATGGACGAACTGAAGGTATTGCTGGTAACGTATTGCACAAAGTGCCTATAAGAGCAAGGGGTCAAAAATACAAATCTCGCTAAGTTTATATGAAACTCACACCTGTTCAAGGCTCTTTTCACATGATAAAATTATTGCATGGTGAAAATAGAAGATGGTTTGTACCGCCTAACATTACATCTTGGATTGTCTAACATTAACCTTCAGTCAGCCACAAATTTTCAAACTAATATTGCATCAAAAAGTACAAAAAAGGATTAAAAATTATGTCAGAGATAATACAGGAATTTCTAAGTTCTGCAAACCTGTCTGAATCAACTGCTGTTGTATCACATCAGAAGCCATTATTAATTGCATAATATCAAATGCTTTCGGATTCATGTTTAATAAAATCGGATTGTACTGGATTGCTTCACCTAATGAGTTTATAATTCGTACAAGAAGTTTTGCTGCTTTGTCGCTGGAAATGAATTTCTGCTAGTGAAATCATTTAAAAGCGAGCAAAAAGAATGCAATCTGAACCACAAAAAAAGAAAAAAAAACTTCTGTTTCAACGTTCACTTCAATTTGCTTACTTTTCTTGGGGAAGTGCAGCGTCGCTGGAACTATCGATCGAACGAAAAATGATGTCATGTAAAATTTTGAGCGATTTATCTATCAAAATGCGATTAAATTCAAACAGTTGCTTAGCACCTGTATCATCATCGCCAATACCTCTACATAAACGGGCAAATGCATGATAAATATGAGAGATGTGACCTTCGTTGACGCTATAATTTAAAACTTCTAATTTTTGAAGTCTGGACTAGAACAAAAAAATTTACGAGATACTAACAATATGAATTCCAGTTAATCGCCAAATAAATTTATGTAACCTAAATTCAGTTAGCTTTGTGCCAAAATTTTTAATCAGCTGGTTTCGACTTGTTTCACTTATGCGGTCAGCACAGCGCGCAATAACTTCTGCAACGTAACCAACTAAATTACTTCCATCATTTTCATTCAGCGTATACCAAAAACGGACCGCATGAGATCCATCAATCTAAAACAAATTTAAAAATAAATATATATCGAAAGAGTTGTCAATTTCAAACGCATTAATTTCCAAGACTAATTCGCACCAGAAACACAAAAAACTAGAAGCTCGATCAAGACCTAAAGCATAAATGTTGTACCTTGAATACACTGCTTAAAAAGTTCAGTAGCATCCAAACAATATTTACATTCTTCAAATCATTACACTTCTTTAGCAAGCTCTCAACGGCATGTTCCGTTAACTCCCCTTCCTTCGCCTGATGAAGTAAAGAGCGCAATAACAAGCGTCTGTAATTCAGTTCATAGAAAACTCGAAAAACGCATGGAGGCAGATTAAGATAATAATGCAAGAATTAAGATTTTCAAACTTAGAATAAACTTAACACTAAGCTTCTTTCTCCTTCTCTCACTCTTTCGATTAGCACAGAATTGAGTGGAAGGACTGTCGAATGAGAAAATTTAATAAAGAAAACGAAGACCTGTGATTGACTTCCTGTTCCACTGCTTCCAGAATACGCCAAACAAAAGGTGTCGTGTCTTCTACAGCTGGCAAAACAATTGTTTCCTGCAATGTTTTTTTATCTAACCAAAATATAAGGTGAACATAATGTTCTCTAAATAAAACTACATAACTGGAAAGTCCCAACTAGAAATTTAAATGAAAAATGAATTTACAGAAGTTCCGCAATTTCGACATTGAATTTTGATTGGAAGTCTTGCGAGACTTGAAAACAGAAACTTACCAAAACTAATCTTGATGCTAATTGTACAACCGATTGTTCACGATCATTAATTAGCGGCAGAACTGATGTAAGCCACACTTTATCGAGCATGTTGCTATCCGTACCCAAGGATAAAAGTAAACGGCTTAACGATTCCGCAGTTTGTTTCCTTACCAATAACGAGGGATCTCGACAATGCCGCTGGAAACAACATGCATAAACAATTTATTACGTCAATGTATACAATACAGTGAGATGTGAGCATTTAAAAATTAGGATCACCTGGAAAAGTGATAAAAATTCTGTTTGTTGTGATTCAGAAAGATTTGGAAAAAGTGATTCAAGAGCAACTATCGCTGCTCTGCGAGTTGATACCTGAAAGTATTCCATTAATTTAAAATGGAGTTGACATGCAGTATAATTTTTCTTAGTTTTTGGAGAAAACAAATATCGAAAAGGAGTATAAATTAAAAAAAAAGAAAAAAAAAATTATCGAGTACTCTTGCATCCATACAACGAGTAGCAATAATTTTCAAAAGTGGAGCATCATCCTGATGTTTCTTAGCATCCTCATCGTCACAGTCGTAAACATACACCTATAAAATGATTTAGTCCTTCAAAAGTCTTTTAACAGAGGATGACAGTATCATAAGACGAATATAGCAATTAAAAAGATTGACTCACTAATAAAGAGAGCGCTAACAAATAAATTAGACCAATCCAAACATAGGATGCCGACATTCACATTAAACTTACGAAAGTTTCTGGCAGATTCAAAAGTTTGCAGCGTGTATTTTCGTCATTAAGCAACATTGCAACCTGCATCAAAGCTCGAGTTCGCACCATTGGGGATTTGTCATTACAACTTCGTAGTAAAAGTACCAAAATTGCATTGTGAAGGCCAACTTCCCTTACTAGATCGTTACTGTAAATAACTCACCAAAATCATCTTCGTTTAATGTTTTTTAACAGAATATTAAAAATCGCACGCAACTTCGATGTTACCGAAATGTCTCCAGATGCTGGTCGGAGTTATTCAATGATTTTAAGCTCATTTCATGATTATATAACATTTTAAAAATAACTGCCCCTCGAGTAAGCTACGCCTTCACCTCATCATAATGTAGAAGTAACAGTAAGTTAAGTTAAAATATACTAGAACACGTTTTTGAATCTTGACAATCTTAATAAATTCAATGCTAAGTCGGCCATAACATAATATTTATGATTGCTAACAGTCCAAATATAGCTAGATAAACTTATAGAGCGAGGATGAAGAAACATTTTTAAAAGGTTTTATAATCATATACGATATGCATGTACTATAATTTTAAAATAACTCTTACAGAGAAATGTTTTGCCAATTTACGTGGCAATAAACATGAAAGCACATGAGTTGATTTTCCTATGTATTTAAGATGGCCTAAAAAATGCGAACCTTATCGCTTTCTTTTTTTTTGCTTTCTTCCGAATTTGTTGTCTGTTATCATTATCTGAAATATGCAAAGAACATTAAAAAAAAATATTTCTTTTGTGGAAGTGTAAGGAATAAAGTTTAATAGTACCATCGTTTCTAGGTTCGTCTACTTCCATCAGTATTTCTTCGTCACTGGATGCATCCTAAGAAAAACTTTGGGAATTATTATACGACAAAAAACGCAATTCGCCCGAACATATGATGTTTACAAAAACGACCAAATCAGGTTTAGCAGAAAACGCTCTGTAAGCAACAAACAAGGAAGTAAGATATGGTATATTTCTTGATTTGTTGTTCTAAAATGAAAAAAAAA